CTGAACTGTCAACCGTTTCTAAAGCCGATCTCGCATTTTCTTCAATTTTCACGTTTTTTTTTTTAAACTTTTTATATTATTATTATATTCCATTTTCACGTTAATAATGTGCTTTGAGTGCAAAAAAGCGAAATGCTCTTCGTGTGCAATACGCAAAATGATTGACAGTTATAAATTTGGAGCTATAGAGGATGTGGGCCTCATTATTTATTTGGTGTGATGTTATTTTAATTTTTTTATTTTACTTTATCATATCAATAGAGTTCTGATTAGAACTCTATTATTCTTACAGAACCAGGAGTGAAGGGCTCAACGTATCTCTCTTCCAACTTCCTCATGCGACCACGCATGTAAGGATCGCAAGACAAGTAGAGATTCTTGACCAGAATGGCGTTCTTCGAATCCTCTGGAAGCTTGAGACGAATGGTACCATTCTTCACCACCATGTCCGACTCTTTGGGGAAACCACTCACGTACTCCTTCAGAATGATCTGTTTGTTGCTCACTTCCTCTCCCACCACCGCCATAGCGCTCTCTCTCTCTCTCTCTCACAAACACAATGGAAAACCCTAGAGAGATTTGATGATATAGATATAGATATAGATATAGATATATAAGCGTGTATGTAGGTCCCTGTGTGACTCATCACTGAACTGTCAACCGTTTCTAAAGCCGATCTCGCATTTTCTTCCATATTATCTTACGAAAAAATAAAATCAAATATGAGTTAAAAAAAAAATAAAATCAAATAAAATGTGACTGGTATAGGTTTGATTACCTAACCTTTAAAAGAATATTATATTTATAGTGCACGTATGAAAATTATTTTAAGGAATACTTTTTCATAAATTTTTTTTTACCTATTTATATTTTATTTAGTTCATATTATTTTCTTATATTCCAATAAATTTTATAAGTGATATAATTATCAAAATATCCCTAATAATATTTACATTTACAGTGTGAATGTTATGTAATGTGAATGTTCGCACCATCAATGTGAATATTCACGTTGTAAAATATGAATGTTCACATCACCAAATTGCTAATCGTTCAAAAAATATTTATAAGGGTAGAAATGTCCGTAAAATATTTTAAATATGAGAATTAGGATTTGATAGATCAAATGTTCAAATAATAGGACTTATTAGAATAAAAGAATATCTTATGAACTAATTGGGATACAAACATTTAAAAAAAAAATCTAATAGATCTTCCTTATTTTAAATTAGATTATGCTATAGCTATTATTATAATTAACTGAGGTAAAGGTAAAATATATGTATAATAATAATTAAGGTAATCATAGGCTTGGTAGGATGATAATTATCAAAAAAAAAAAAAAAAAAAAAAATGAAAAAGTCTAGAACCTTAGACATATTCATTCAGGATTTTTTGGGCGGTTACTTGTATGATAGAGATTAATTATATAATGTGACGTCTATAGGGTGGGTATTTGTATAGTAGAGATTAAATTTATATAGTATTATATTTATAAGAAAAATAAATCTGAATAAAAAAATAATAATTTTAAATAATTTTTTAGTGAATGATTTCCCTATATTTGTAGTATTACCAAAAAATAAATAAGCTTGGTAGAATGATAATTTAGTAACATTTTGGAAAAATGAATATAAACCAGCTTTTTGCTTATAAAGTCAGCTTTTTTGAGCAACAAACCATTTGGAAAGATAGATATAATCAACCTGAGAAATTATCAAAATGCCCTCACTTTTTTTTTAGTAAAATGATAATTTTAAAAATATGCACAAGAATAAAATGAGAATTTTATAATTTTTATAAGTGACATCATATTATAATAATTTCAAAAAAAAAAAGTTTAAAAAAATATTTATTTAACACTTTTCATTTATAAAAAAATAAAAAAAATCTTAAAATAAACCAAAAAAAAATATTTTTCATCTTCCCAAAACTTCCCTTATTTTGAGGACCGAACAATGTGTGGATGGAACGCTCAAAAAAAAGGAAAAAAAAAAAAAAAGGACTGTGTGGATGGCCGATAGAGGATGCGCCAAATGTATTGTTACAACTTGTATCTTGGCGCAACCCGCAACCCCCACCCCCCAAAGTTTATAGTGAAAATTAAGTTTGTATAATGTGAAATTTATATATAAAATAAATCTTAATTATAAGATGATAATTGTGAATAATTAAGTCTGAATTCATAGTATTACTATTAAAAAAAAATATAGAAAATGACAAACTTTTAATAGAGAGTTTAGTCCAGAAGAAAAGAAAAAAAAAATTTGCTTCAAAAGACTATCTATTAAGAACTTATTCATATTTACATTATTCTAAACATATTAATTTTTGTCACTTTATATTTTAGTCAAAAAATTAAAAAATTATTAAAATAATATATTTTCAAATTAACCCATAATATTATTTTAAATAGCATCCAAATAACTTATCCTGAACCAGGAGGCCACCCAACCCAAAAGAAATGCTCAGTGCCGGCTTTGGATACAGCCGGCAGTTTTGGACCCTTATAAATTAATTGGGAAAAGGATCAAAAAAAACTTTGAAAAAATATTATCAAAAGGGCTCCTAAAAAACAAAAAACTTATCGATATAGCGAATTGTTTAAAATTAATTGATGGTTGTTTTCTAAATGTATGAATTGTATATAAAATATTATTAATCATAGTTATTACTTACAAATTGTTTATGGAAAAAAGAAACATTTTAAATTTGAAATTTATTAAATCATGCATTTAGTGACGCATACCACAAGACAGATTAAATGAGTTTGGTTTTTGAGTTGATTAAAACAATTTGATTAGTAATTTTATAGTTAAAAATTCAAAAGTTTAAAAAATTTAAATAAAATTTGAATTATCAACTAGTCTGATTCTGTCAAAAAGTGATTCAAAAATCAATTCATATTAAAATTTTTCTTTAGAGCGTTATATGTATGTATGTATAAGAGCCTTCATATTTTTTTACTGAGCTTAAGAGGCTTCATTTTAGAAACCTGTTTTGGACCCCAGAAAAGGGCTCCATTCTCGTTATTATTGTTATATAATAAGTACTACTTTATTATGCACTTTTATTTTTATTTTACTATTTTTTAACATAAGATTACTTCTTAATACTTTTAGTTTAAGGTCCTATCATATCAACATATTCATAAAGACAAACCTAATGTGCCAATACTATATGAAAATTGCTATACATTACTTGATTTTTATTATTATTTTATAGGGGTATTACCCTCGAGTAATTTTGATTTTATTATATATTTATGAAAAAATTAACAATTTTAATTATTAATATCTATAAATATTTCATTAATTTGTAATTATTTTTTAAAAATTTTACTGATGTGATATTTTATCTATTTTATGTCACCAATTAATTTCTTAACAATGAACTCTAAATATTCAATTTAAAGAGCAATTATTCATATTCAATTTGTTTTTATTTATTTTACAATAAAGAAAAAGAATTTTATATATGTAATAAAATTTATAATAAAAAAGAAAACACCTTTAGTTTAGTCATAAAATACAATTCTAGAGTGATTGTAATTTTTTATATTTTTTTGTGCAAATAAAGATGTATTAATTGAAGCTATAGAAAAACATTTTCAAAAGTAGTATAAAGTATTTTGCGAATTGAATAAAATTCTGTTAATTCCACTAAACCAATCTAAATTTGGGATGGGAGACCAATTCAAATATGGAATAGGATACAATATTCTAAGACTCACAGCCTTAGGGATGTTAATCTCATTTCATTCAGTCGCTTAAACAAAGAAAGTTTTTAAACGTTGACGGTTGGAAGAAATATAATTACCCATAGAAAGCTAAGAAATATAAATACTTTCAGTTTAGGGTATATAATAAGGCCCAGGGTGCTAATCCTAGTGATAAAAATTAAATCAAGATTAAATATTGTAGTTATTTTTAGAGACTTTTTATAGAAATTTATTCAGTCTTGATTCGTCTTTTAATAGTAGAAATTCTTTTACTATAATTAATGATAGATTGACTGGAAGCGATTGATAATAATACTCTTAAACGATTGAATTCTTCTTCTAAATCAGATATATATTGCAAATTATCATTAATTTCAATATATCAAAAATTAAAAATATAATAAATAAACATCACACTCATATCTATTAAACCGAAAGTACAGAGTAATGAAGAAACTTGCAAGAGATCACAAACTTGGAAACAAATAGGCAAAGCATATATAGTCCGTCACACTTATCTTCACACTCACACTTATCTTTAGACTCGCACTCGCACTCGCATGTACTCGCACTTCCTTGGCACTCATACATACATTGATTAAAACTTAAAAAGCCTTTTTCTAGCAACATCACCCCAGTAAGAAACCAGTACAACAAAAATACATTTTAATGACACTATATTAGTGGTATGTTTTTAAAAAATGTCACAAAAAGAATATTTGGTGGCATGTTTTAGAAAAATGTTACAGAGCTACAAACATACAAGGCTCTAGTGGCATTTCAATAAACAAGTGCCACATCACTATAACAAAAATGTGATTTAATAGCATCAATTTATGGCATTTTATAAAAGAATGGCACAAGAAATTGTTTTAATGACATTTATGCTACTAAACTTTAGTAGTAATGGAATTTTTTAAAAATGTCACTAAACTAGATAGATGTAAGTTACTTTTTATGGCATTAAGTGAAAAGTGTCATAGACAAATATTTTATGGCATTTTGAGAAATGTCAATAAACCAAAAAATTTCCAAGCTATCTAATGTCATTTTTTGAAAAAATAAAAAATGTCAAATTGAACCGCTTGACCTTTGTTTGCTGGCTCAATGGTTTCTCCAAGAATTCTGAATGTGCTACAAACGAAAGCGGTGGAGACTCTAGCTTCAACATGTGGCTGTTGCCTCTTCTCTGCCTTCTATCTTGTCTAAAAGAAATTGCACAGATATGTGTATGTATTCCATGTGATTGTAGGAGAAGACGTAAAATTGATCTCTAAGATGTGGCTATGGTTTTGCCCTAAAATCTGTAGATATAATACAGATAATTGTGGGAATTGGTTGGTCCTCCAAATTGGACAAGCAGTGTGTCCATGTGCTTTGTATCAGATGCTCAGATGTAGAAAATTATATATATAAAGCTCTTCATTCTACAATTAGGTGTCATCTGCATCAAACCAAAAAATCTGGTATGTTCTCCTCTGTCTCATCCTATCATCAATGATGCATTTGATTCTATTTTCTGCCATACATTCATACTCTTGTTTTATTCATATTTGGTTCCCTTTAAAATTGGCCTACCATGTGTTGGCCAATATGTCTAAACCATAAAACATTTCATAATAGGGCAAAATGTAATAAATTAGCATTAACCGTAACTGGTAATTGTCATAAGAAAATTCCATTGGTTAGTAATGGAGGTATCCGCATAGATCCTCACTATTCATCAATTATTATTGGAATTTTTTTTGTTAGGAGATATTCATATATTTGTTGTTGGGATGGCTATTGTGTTTCTTTATGGTTGAGATGTTTTCATGCCTACATTGAGATTGATTGGAAATGGGAACAACAGTTGCATGTTATTTTCTCATTCTCTGATGAATGGCTTTCTTACTTTTGTTTTGTTTTTTTTTGTTTTTTTTGTATCTTGAAAAACGACGAGCGATGAAATCATTGCCTTTTATTCTCTAGCTTGACTATTATTGCATTAAAATTGAAAACTAATGTGATTCAAGATTTAGTGATTCTCGGTAATCAACAAACACTATAGCGTAATTATGGGTGATCCTGTTGGAGTGCCACTGTGAACTATATACAATTTTTATTGACTTTGTGATCAGATAATTTCTTAAACCACTTCACTAATCTTTATTCTTCAAACATCCAGAGTGTAGGAGGGCTCACCATATGGTTTCTAATTCTAAATCAGTTGTTGATTTCATATAAGGTTCATCAGGGGTTCATTTTTCCTGGATTTCACTTGGATGGATTGGAGTTAAGAAATTCAGAGTTAGAGCAATGATAGTATGTATCAAATAATTATCTTTTCATTTGAACTTGTAGATTAATTAAAAATTGCCACATTATAGTGTTGAGTGATTGAAATGTATATATTAAGTCATGTTTATTGCAACCTTATAGGATGAAATGAATGAGAAGACAACTTTAAATGCAAATTTATTAAATCAAGGCCCAAATGATACATTTGGACAAGTGATGGGTAAAGAAAAACATGGACGAGTTTGCATGTATGGATTAGGTGTCTCCCCGTCTAATTTATGGAGAGATACATCTAGTCATAAAACAAACCAAGACACAACAATGGATGCTATGGAAGTTGAAAATTCGGAGTTAAGGTCCAAAGTTTTCCATGTTAAGCATGCTCCGAATAACTTGACAAGGACATCTCACCAGGTAAATTTTTTAATAGAATTTATAAGTTATTAATGTTTTCCTACACACACACACACACACACACACACACACACACACACACACACATAAATATATATATATATACATATATCTATGTGTGTGTGTGTTTGTAAAATTAATTAGTTTCTATTTGGTTAGGTCATAACAGCTTCTAGCCCTCTTGACATGGCAGCTCGACATCAAGTATGGTCCTTGTCATCGATACAAGACGCCTCTCTTACTCAAGTACCTACTAAGAGCTAATCATATATTGTGGACCTAAATTTATTTTAGAATAGCATGCAAAACTTGTCTTACAATTAACCAAGGAATGAATATTGTGGACCTAAAAACTTGTAGATTAATTAAAAATTGCCACATTATAGTGTTGAGTGATTGAAATGTATATATTAAGTCATGTTTATTGCAACCTTATAGGATGAAATGAATGAGAGGACAACTTTAAATGCAAATTTATTAAATCAAGGCCCAAATGATACATTTGGACAAGTGATGGGTAAAGAAAAACATGGACGAGTTTGCATGTATGGATTAGGTGTCTTCCCGTCTAATTTATGGAGAGATACATCTAGTCATAAAGCAAACCAAGACACAACAATGGATGCTATGGAAGCTGAAAATTCGGAGTTAAGGTCCAAAGTTTCCATGTTGAGCATGCTCCGAATAACTTGACAAGGACATCTCACTAGGTAAATTTTTTAATAGAATTTATAAGTTATTAATGTTTTCCTACACACACACACACACACACACACACATACATATATATATATATATATATATACATATCTATGTGTGTGTGTGTTTGTAAAATTAATTAGTTTCTATTTGGTTAGGTCATAACAGCTTCTAGCCCTTTTGACATGGCAGCTCGACATCAAGTATGGTCCTTGTCATCGATACAAGACGCCTCTCTTACTCAGGTACCTACTAAGAGCTAATCATATATTGTGGACCTAAATTTATTTTAGAATAGCATGCAAAACTTGTCTTACAATTAACCAAGGAATGAATATTGTGGACCTAAACTTCATTGTTTAAATCTAGACAAAATGTGCTACATAGTAAAAATCATGACATGACGAAGCTTGTGCTCTTTTATTTATTTATTTATTTATTTTTTTTATGAAGTTTCAACAAGGTATCTCTAAATCATTTATTACCGCATGGGCTCTTTTCTGATTTCCTGAAAATCTTACTTGAAAGTAATTAGTTGATTGTCATTTTTCACAATTACATTTGATTTACATTATTGAGTTTAGGGGATCCTGATATTGATAATGGACATGGTTTTGATTGTTATTGATTGGTGCCTTTGGTTGTTATCGATTTTTTAAGCTATTATTTGATATGGTCTGAAGACTTACGGTTGTTACTTTTATATAATTTGTTGTAGTGTGGTGAACCAATTAAGTGATTAAATCATGTGGCTTGCTTACCTACTAGAGAAATACATATCACTTTCAATTGTAATCATCTTCACTTTGGCACTTTGTACTAGTTTATTTTTTAAATATTATTTATTAATTGTAAATATATAATTACTTAAGTTGTTAAATCTTGATTTATAGGTGGGAGTCATAGTTGTTCCAAAAAGTATCATTAGACCAACAGAAATAGTTGCAATCAGAATACTTAAAAGCACAGATCCATCTAAAGAAGTATAAGGGGAAGAACTAGGACCTGACTATTGGGAGGTACATGTTCAAGTGCCAGTCAAACCTAATAAGAGTTTGATCCAATCATATGGATTTGTCGAAACAATTGGACAAGCTATTAGAGCTCATGTTGCTTGGTCTGCTCCATTTGTAGTATATTTCTTTCGTAAATACTAATTTTATTAAAAAATTTATATTAACTTAACATAGTTTCAATTACCTTTATATGTTTATCTTTTGGATGCAGATTTCGCAAGTTATGGATGCTAGCTGAGAATATTTATATAAGTGAGGTTGAGAATTTGGAAACTGAATTTGTTTTCATAATTTGTCTCTCCGGAAGATGGATATCACTATGGCTTTTTAGAACTTATGGTTGGAATATTTTTTTTTTTGCTTTAACTTTTGTTAGTGTGGTAGAATATTTTATAATTTTGATTATGATTCTTATTGCAATATAAATTTTTAGATTATAATTTTGGTAGAATATTTTTAGATTAAAAAATGATTGTGGTTTGAATTTTTTTTTGTTTTGTTTTTGATGTGATGATCCTATGGTGGTAATATTTATTTATTATTATGAAAATATTACAGGATGAATGGATGTCAAATTAATATAGGATGTGGCAATTAGTATTCAATTTTTTATAAAATCGATTCAATTTTTAAAAGCATTTACGCATGCTTAGTTGTGACTTTTAAAAGTGTCAATAAAAAGAACATATAAGTGGCATTTCGTAGTAGTGGTAGTAGTTTTGCAAAGTGCCGCTAAAATAAGCTCCAATGGCATTTATATCCATTTAATGGCACAAATGAATTGAATTTAGTGGCATTTATGAAATTGTTAAAAATATCAATTGTGGCATAACAAGTGCCATTAAAAGTTCATATAATGACATTTTTTAGATTGTAAGGCTTCTTTAATGACAGTTGATAGAGTTACGAATAGTGTCTATCATGACATTAAAGTGTCACTAAAATTCTTTAGCCTTGATGGTGTAAAGACACTCACAAGTGTCACTGAAGTGCCACTGAGTCTTTTTTTAATGGCGCTTGATAGTGTCACAAATACTGTCTATCATGACATCAAAGTGTAATTGAAAGTTTTTAGCCATGATAGTGTAGTGGCACTTGTAACGCCCCCAAAATATATATCAATAATCGCATGAATCAGAGTAAATAGTCATTTCATTATATGAAGTTAATGATTACAAAAGAGTTTGACAGAAGTAAATGCCTTATTGGCTTGCACCTTTTCAAGTCTTGACTTGGTTATAACAAAAAGAGCTTCGCTCAATGCAAATTTTGCCCTAGGCTATACAAAATAAACAAAACATGAAGCTCTTGCTTCCTAAAGGTTCCTCCAATGCTATTGCCTTGGTGGAGGCATGCCATTATTACTTGAAAATGTTATCCCCAAATAGGGTGAGCCACAGCCCAGTAGAAATCATCTAACACAATATATGAAATTTAGCAAAGGTATAAGTACAAGTGCTTAAACAATGCTTGTGATAAAAGTTTTCATAAATGTATATACTCATAAGATGTCAAATTCAAGTCTTAATCCACTTTCTTTCAATTCATATTTTGATCACTTATCTTTCTCAATTCATGAGTCAATTTCATTATTTCTCAACGACCGAATTGAGGCTACAACTCAATTACTTTCAGTTCACACAACACATATGCATAAACATTTCAAACTTCTATTTCACGGATATTTCGTTCGCGGGCAGTCGTCAAACGAGACCCATGTAAACGTAGGCTATACAAGTACTACAATTGCCATTTTATGGATATTTCGTCCGCGGGCTAGGCACCCATGTATAATTTCAGGACTTTCACCTAGCACACTCTGGCCAACTTAATTATAATGGAGTCTATCCCCTTTTCTCCTCCCAAACAATCAGTCATACATATGCAATGTATTTAAACACATAATCAAATAATGAAGTACATCTCCTTTCCACTCTTAGATAATCATGCATATACAATGTATATAAACATAATAATATTCAATGACAACCAACCATGGACTAGTTTCAGTTCACCTAATCCACATGCAATTTCTATAACAAGCCCAAGCTATCCTCCACCGATAGCCCAACATAGATATTTTTAAACGGATATACAATCTTATGACAGATAATTTATTCAAAATTTCCAATTAATGAGATAATACATAACCAATCTCACCATTCATACTAACACCCTTCCAATCCCACATTTTCAATGTTAACTTCAATTATTTACACAAAATAATAGTTTGATCCAATTAGGGTGAACTCCCCACTTTTCCCCAAATATTTAGTAAGTGCCAAAATCATCAAATTAGACATAACATAACATCATTTTCAAACCCTACAAGTATTCATTTCACCTTCACCCAAAACCCCTCTTTTCATTTTATGCCCAAACCTTAGGTTTGTTTAAAACATCCTCGAATCACACCATTGTTATGCAAGAGACAAATAACTAAGCTAAATATTATATGAAGGTGTAGAAAGATCCCTACCTCAAAGGAAGAAGATGAGCCAAGCAAGAGTGAGACTCCAAGAACGATGAAACCCACTTCTATTTGGTTCAAAATGAAGATCTTGACGAGCTCTACCTTTTTCTCAAAGGCACTAGGGTGGAAATCCCAATGGATTTAGATAAGATCTTAGAGAGAAGGTGAATTTTAGAGAGAGAAGCTCAAGAACAAGCTTTTTGGAAAGTTTTAGAGAGAGAGAGAAAAGAAAAAGTGATTCAAAATGGCATCTTTTCGGACTGTTATACACACAGTCCGCTCGAGCGTGGAAAGCCTCACTCGAGTGTCAGACACAAAGATTTGCTCGAGCATGAGACTGGATGCTCAAGCGTCCAATGTACACTTCCAGTATTTGCAGACCTATAAAAAAAAATACTGAGAGTTGACAAATCCCGCTCGAGCGCAAGCATGGCTACTCAAGCAGAGGAGCAAAATTTGTGAAGCCCACTCGAGCTCAAGAATGCCCGCTCAAGCGGAAGAGCCAAAATCTAGGCATCACATGTTTGGAAAAACACGCAACCAACCTGTTCCAAACACACAACCACAACCCGATAACCAAAATAAAGGGGAGATAAGGGGAATAAGACATGAATAACCATTCTAAACCATACCAACTCGAGTCCGGAATACAATTGATAACGGGTCAAAACCAGGATCGCTATAGCACTTGCAAGTATCATTGAGGTGCCACTAGTATCTACCGTGACATGGACATAAATGGCACTTGTTTAAAATGTCACAAGACTAAAAAATATCATTAGAAGAATAGTTTTGTGACACTTGCAAATGTCACTAAACTAAGAAAATGTTGTAGTGACCATTTCTCTAATAAGTTTAGTCTAAGCATACTAAGAATTTACATTAGGGTTTACCAGGACATCAATAACATCATCATTCATAAGCAACAACCACCACCTGTTTGCTGACATTGTGACTGGCAAAAAGCCCAATAAGAGTTGCTGGGGCACTCTCTAGGCCTTTAGCTATGTCTTCCACGTATGTGATTTTTCCTTATTTTATGTGGGGTAAGATCATGTCCAGAAACTTCGGATACATGTGATAGTAATCGAAAAATATAAATCCTTCCATACAGACTCGTTTGTGATAAGATAGAACAAGTTGTGAACACTT